CGGTTTGAATAAATAATAAAGACTCGTGAAATTAAAAAAATATCACATTATCTGTGAGTTTTTCCAGTTTTTCTCGTTATGTAATCGTTTAAACTAAAAATAAACTGCATCACAGAAATCTCAGTAAAATTTCAATACAAATTGATGGGTCACACTAAAGTGAAATTTTTTTCCTACTTTGATCCCAAAGTTCAGGGTAGGGCACGAAAGTTACAAAAAATCGAGTGATCACTTAATTTGTATGAGAATTTCGTGGGAAATACCGTTGTGATGTATATTTTTTATTAAAATAAAATTTAAAGTGGGAGAACCGGAAAACCTCCAATTTTGGAGATATGAATTTTTAGTTTTCGATTTCACTATTTTTAGATCCTTCTGAATATCATCCTACTACTCGTGACATAGCATTTACTAACACCCTGTAAAATAATAATTAAACAAAAAAAAATTTGTTTTCAAATTATTACTGATTTTTATTTTTAATATGTTAAAAATAAGCAGACCAAATATCATTTTTAACCTATTTTTTTGGTTCTTTAAAGTTAATGAAAAATGNTTAACCTATTTTTTGGTTCTTTAAAGTTTATGGAAAATTTTTGATAAAGATTTGTGAAAGTTTATAGTAAAAAAAATTGAATATATTACCATAGCTTTTAGCTCAATTACAAGTTTAAAATTTACATCTAAGTCAGTCAACAAAGGAAAAATTGCTNTTTATAGTAAAAAAAATTGAATATATTACCATAGCTTTTAGCTCAATTACAAGTTTAAAATTTACATCTAGGTCAGTCAATAAAGGAAAAATTGCGGAAAAAATTCCCAACCAAATTTTTTTTTTTTAAAGTTGAATTAAAATATGAATAATTACATATTAATAGTCCTCATTGATTGGAATTGAGTTTTTTTTTACAGCCTTGCAAAAGTTCAAAAATATGAGCTTTTTTAATTTTCTCAAAAAACATTTAACTTACAAAAAAATGTTCGTAGAAAAGTTGTTTAAAAGACAATTCTNTTCGTACAAAAGTTGTTTAAAAGACAATTATAAACAAAAAATATATTTTATATTTTTTCATTTAAACAAATATTTTTCGAGTTATATTACATTTAATATGAGTACTAAAATTCATTAAGAANAAGTCTATTTTCTGTCATCTTATCCACGATTGACGCAACACCTATACTTCCTCTTATATGCTCGTTCCTTATCCTATCTTCTCTAGTCACTCCACTCATCCAACTAAGCATTCTCATCTCTGCTACACTTATTCTCTGCTCTACTTTCTTATCAACCGCCCAACACTATGAACTATACATCATAGCTGGCCTCACAATTTCATACTAAATTTAATAACTATAATTATACTTAATTATAATATTATACTAATAAATCAAAGAACTACTAATCAGGATATAATTAAAGAAATAAGAGTTCATGTTGCTTTTAAAATNATATATTATATTTTAAAATCAAAGAACTACTAATCAGGATATAATTAAAGAAATAAGAGTTGATGTTGCTTTTGGAATAATCCACCAATTTCTCTAAATGAAACACTATCTACAGATTTGCATCGAAGCGTTTCTTATGATAGTGATTTTAATTACTGTCAGATATCATCTATACTTGTCCCATCTATGTCTCGACTCCACTGTGCTATCGTTTTTTTATAAATCAATTTAAATTACAATAAAATTATATTATCATGGTTACATAAGTCAATAAACAAATATTTTGTTATAAATTAATTGAGTAAACAATAAATATATGATACTGATATTCGTACCGGACACAAGATATTGATATTGATGTTCGTAACAATTTTTATCACAACTTTTATGCGGCGTAGTTTATATCAACAATTGATACGGTAATGAACTGATAAATATAAAATTCAACGATTGCTTCGACCCTGACTCTACGTTATATTATATAATATTTCATATTAAAATAGTTAGTATTATTATGATATATATTTACTACTTATGTTGATTGTGATTCATTATCTATAGAAAAATTAAAAGAAGAATAATTTACTTAATTAGGTATATTTATATTTATATGGCCTGAAAAAATTTCAAAATGGCCTACTTGAAATTTCGCACAACGAAAAAAAAACTGAAACGAGGCCCTTATCCCTTTTTGGGATGGTTAAACCCAAAAACTATTCAGCACGCACACTAATTGTTAAGATCGATTAAAGAACCAGCAGTCCAACCTTGACTGTTGCCGCACACACACACACACAATTTTAATAACACGATGGAAAGTATTTACACTAAGTGCAGGTTTTCGAATAGTTATTTTTTATTTACAGAATGTAATAAACACAAATCAAAATACAATATAACAATGTAACACAATATAAATTTAACAGTTCAAAATACAAAGTTTCACACACTAAACATCCTGACCCGTAACTAGACGTTTCTTAGTCGAAAAGTCAATACCCCATTATTTTTCTTGTTTCCCTTTATACATAGTTATTCCCACCATTGTTAATCTGCATATTCCCTTTATATGACATTTTAACACGCTTATATTTGTTTCACATGTATGTTGTGTGTTTGTTGTTTGTAATTTTCAACGCGCACGTGTCTACGGCCTTGAGACTAGACAGTCGTAACGCATTCACCGCACCCTGCTCACCAGTCGTCAACAACAATATTTTCCAATTCGTAGACGCAGCGTGTCATCAATTATATAATATATATATAAATGAATTGTTATTTTGACTGACCAATACCGCCCGCGTGTAATGCGCCTTACGTATATATATTTATAAATTCCTACCGCCGCTGCTGCCGTTTATACCTTAGGTATAACGTTCTCCCCGACCACAAAACAAGGCTATACCTAGCGCATGATACGTTTACGTACTTCTGACGCCTTACTATATATATGTATGTATGTATGTGTATATATATATATATATATTCCTACAGCCGCTGCATATGCCTCACATAAAACGTTCCCCGTGCCCCGCCCGCCCACAAAACACAGATGTACCTCGTGCATGATATGTTTAAGTCGCTTTAAATGTATATATATATATATTCTAATTACTATTGAAAATATATATTAACATGCTTTATTCTCATTAAGAGATATAGAGTGTATTCATTCCGATTACAAAGGATGATTCCCGTATCGTCATTTTTCGTCACTACCTCCACGTTCCGGGAGTGAGTAATTTGCGCGCCTGCTGCTTTCCATGGGTGTAGTAAACGTTTCTCAGACTCCCTCCCCGGAATCGAACCCTGATTTCCCGTTACCCGTTACATCCATGATATTGATAGTAACTACTATCATAACATGAAACTAAAAAGTGAAAAATAAATATAGTTTAAAAAAACACGCTTTTAAAACACATCAAACTAAAAAGTTAAAAATAATTTCTAAAATGTGCTTAAAACAATAATGAACGAAAAATACTAGTATTACTGTGATAAAATCGTCGGACGCTTAATATACGAAAAAAATGGCACAAAGCATCCACTCTTTTATCACAATAATACTAGTATTTTTCGTTCATTATTGTTTTAAGCACATTTTAGAAATTATTTTTAACTTTTTAGTTAGTTTGATGTACTTTAAAAGCGTGTTTTTTTAGTTTTTTTAAACTATATTTAAATCCAACACACTTCTTTCATATTAAAATAATATACAAAGGAGAGTTTACAGTAATGGAGTCTTTAATTTTCATAATGGTTAAATGATTGTATTCTACATTAAATATTGAGTTAAACTCATTTCGATCTTATAGCCGATTAATATTTTTCAAGTTGAGGAAAAGGACTTTGAAAAATTCAACTTGCTTAAATTGCCTATTTTATCATCGTGGATGTGTATTGTACAACTACCGATTTGGAAACGCATGTGTTTTAATCACTAAAGATCAGGAGTTCTATACAATACCTATCAGACACAATTAACTTTGCATTTTTTTTCAAAAAGTCTACCTTTTTCCTCTACTTTTACTAAAACGTTAAAAGATCATAAATCATATCTATATGAAAATTACCCTAAAAATTTAAATAATTTCTTTAGTTCATTGAATTGAGAGAAATCACCAAAAAAATTACAATTTTTATAATCGGTAATTTCTATATTTTTTTAAAACTTTTTCTACTTAAATCTATCATAGTTTTTTTAAAAATAGTTGAGTGGAAATAAATTTCATTTTTTATTGTCCTTATCCAAACTACTTGAGACGTGCCACCTTTATCCTAAGCTTTCCCTTACATGTTCTCGCACATCTTTTACTCTCATGTCAGCCGTCCTTATATCGCATTCAATAACATCCTGCCATCTCTTTTTTGGTCTTTCTCTACCTCTTCTTCCTTCAACATTCATATCTATAACTATTCTTACCGCTTCCAATTCCTCTCTCCTTATAACATGACCAAATCATCTAAGTGTATTTTCTCTTATCTTCTACACCTATATTCCCTCTTATATGATCGTTCATCATCCTATCTTCTCTAGTCATTTCACTCATTCTCTGCTTTATTCTCTTGTCAACTACCCAACACCCTGATCTATGCGTCATAGCTGTTCTTACTTTAATCATTAAAAATTTACCATTCAGCCTTACAATACGACCCGAATTGGGATCCGTTTTTTAAGTTGACTTAAATTATTGTAATAATTTATTTATACAGCCACATTAGAGTAGTAGTAAAGTAGATACAACTCCTTTTCGTTTGGAGAGGATATTAAAAAATGTTTAATGTATATCCGTTTTCCAAAATAAACCCTAAATATACTCTTGTTATTTATGACACATACCCCGCTCGATTTGATCATGCGTCGACACTGACTATTTTTTTTACCTCAGTTTTAAGTGCACATAATCGAGTACTTATCTGTATCTGTATATAATAAACATTTTCAAAGTATATTTCCTAGTATTTTTAACTTTACATTGAAACTAAAGAATTCACATTACAAAAAATAAAGTTTATTTTTTTAATTATAGTTGTTATAATTTTTTTTGTAGCATTTTTGAATTACAACGATTACAATATTTTTACTGTCGATTGGTCGCAGTTAGCGGCTATTCCTTGGTACAATTCAGCAGTGAAAAATACAAAAAATGTATCGAAACATTTAGCTTTATTCATTGAACACATGTCCACATCAACTGGAGCTCACGTGGAAGATTTTCATTTGATTGGATTTTCTTTAGGAGCTCATGTTGTAGGATTAACTAATACTAATATAAAATCTGGAAGTGTGAAGCATATTACAGGTAAACATATAAAGTAAATAATGAACCATGTTTCTATTAGCTTCGATGCGTAGCTGAGAAGGTATTAGTTTTACTATGATGTGTTTTTTTTTTGTATCTGTTACCACTTTTTCTCAGCTCTCATCGAACGGATTTCTTTCAACGATACGTCAAAAGACCACAAATCGTATCTAGTCGAAGACATTACCCTCAAAAATAGAAAAAAATGTCCCTTAGTCCCGTAAATGGGGTAAACCTCCAAAAAAATAACAAAATTAAAAATTGCTAATTTTCGTTATTTTTTCAATTTTTTTTACTAAAAACTGGCGTAACTTTTTCAAAAATGAACATAGCAATATAATTTTTTTTTTTTATAGAAGCAAGATGTCTTTACATATCATTTATATTTAATAAATTTGACCCTTTACCTGCCTACAGAGGGAATTCCTAATGACAACTTTTTCAACTTAAATATTGAAAGTATTCGGGAAAGTATGACATTTATACATATCTTCAATTAAAGATAATGTAACATACTTTATTATGGAAAAAAAAATTCCGGACTTTATTTTGTATTCACGGTAAAAATAGTTACCAAATGTTATTTTTGTGTGAAAATTCTCGATTTTATATTTTACATTTTTTACTTTAAAATGCTATAACTTATTAAGAGATGTATGGATCAACATAATTTTTTTATGAGAAATAATATTTTTTAATAATCCCTCTTTCATTCGACATACTTTATCTTAATCAGGATATTAATAAGGAACTAGCAGATAATGTAGCTTTTGGAATAATCCACCAATTTTTTAAAATTAAACACTATATAAAAATTTGCATCGAAGCGTTTTTTTTTGATAGTGATTTTAATTACTGTCAGATATCATTATACTTGGCGATGGACAGCTTTAATACTGGAACGGTATTGACGTCGGCCACCTCCCTGGATGCGTCTCCAAAACCCTCCATATTGGAGAGATTGGGGAGCGCGTCTAGGGGTGGTTCTACAAGGATGGGTCCTTCGGATCAGACCATTGGGGTAGGTAGTGTTGTAAAGGTGGCGGATCTGGGGGAGGACGATTCTCTCCGTCCCAAAAGGAAGGGGATCTCTCCGCCCCTCGAACCCACCACCATTACGCTTGAGGACACCCCGCCTAGCGTGGCCATCCCCATGCCGGAGACGCCTTTGCCGGTACTGACCAAGAAGCCCAGGTTGGTGACCCTGACAGCACTGGACTTGTTTAGCGCCGACGGGTCACCAAATAGAGTGGCTGGCCGGTCCGACGAGGTGCTGTCGGCTGGGTTGGTCCTCCTCGGAGAACAAGCGGGGCAACTCGAGGACGTATTGGAGGTGTACTCCCCGTACCGCCGTGTGGTCAAGATGGACATAGACAGTGTTAGATCTCGCTGATCTTCATCTGACTCGCATGCCGGAGCGGGAGTCACCGACAACTGATCCCGGTGCCCTGGTGACCAAAGTCGACGTGTCGTCCCAGACGGACTACTGGTGGAACACTTATGGCCGTCGGAGACACGTCCCTTCTCCTCCGTAGGAGCGACGCAGCAGCGGCCACGCTCCCTATTGTTCCTGCCGTCAAGAAGCGTTGGAAGAAGGGGAAGAAGAAGGAGGGGACGGCAAAGAACGATGCGTATCCACCCGTAGACATCACAGCGCCTTTGCCATCCAGTGGTGCAGCCCCTTCTCCTCCGTGCCCAGCTCTTCCTGACATCTCTCCAGCCCCCGCTCCTGCCACCTTGTGGACAGAGGTGGTAAAGCGGAGAGGGGCCAAGAGGGTGGAGAGAGCGCCCGTTTGCTGTGCTCTCACTGTGGTGGAATCGGGCTCTACGGGGCTACGAGCTGCTGCAGCGGGTGCAGTTCTCATTGCTCGGGGAATCGGGCGCGTCCTCCGGTTGCGGATCGAGGAACGGCCTGTAGATATGCAGGTTAGCCGCGAAATAAGCAGTCCCCTTCTTGGGGACTGACGAATAAGCGGTCGCGGACAGCGAGCCTCTCGGACGCTCGTTAACCCTACAGATATGTAGGGTAGTCGCGAAATAAGTCACTCTATTTTAATAGGGTGGTCGAATAAGCGATAGCGTTCGAGAGAAACATAGAACTGGGTAGGCGGACCCATTAGCCTGGTAAGGCGACCGCCTAAGGGAGGACAACCCTAAAAAAAAACTACGAGCCTGGCGGTAGGTTAAAAACGCATGGGAAGGACACCCATTAAAAAAACCCAATATGGATAGGATAACTGGAAATATTGTTACCGCCCCAGTGCTATCGGATGGCACAGGGGACGTCGGCGGGGGTTCTTGTAGCCCGGCTCTCGTTGACGCCGACCAAGGGCGATGCGATGTGGAGGCCCCACAACCCAACTTGGGTATAAATAGGAAGGGAGGATTCACCATCACCGAGGAGCTGGTGGATGAATGGGCTGATATCCGAGATAGGTATAGCAACGATATACCTCTCACGGAGTCAGAATATGTGCGCTGGGAAGAAATAAGGCGCAAGATGGAGGACGGAAGCGAGGTCGAAAACTGTTTCCCTCGTCAAAGATTCCGCAACCTAGGCGTCTTTAAGGGCGCAGTGGACACCATACTGGAGATGATGACCAGTGACGTCCAAAACGGAGGCAACTTCTCTACGGAGGNGGCAACTTCTCTCCGGAGCGCAAGGAGGTTTATAACCCCTTCCATGGAGTAGAAGGGGAAGAGGAGCGAGTGTGCCTTATGAGTAAGTGCGTCTCCTCCCTTCGAGGCGAAAGCACGGCGAACCGTGCGATCCAAATTGCTCGGCTANAAGCACGGCGGACCGTGCGATCCAAATTGCTCGGCTGGTCAGCCGGGAACTGTTGACGCGCCATAGGAAGGATCCGATGATGGAAGCAATGGGGATTGGACTCCGGGATGTCGTTGATGTGTTCGACTACGAATGCGTCGTCGCGGAAACGGCACCCGGAGTTGTGGAGGAATCGTCCGAAGGAGACAATAGTCTATCCGAGGACGAAACAATGAGGACAGGTGTTAGGCCTGGTGTGAGTTGTGTTGAGCCTTCTCTCGGGCAGGCGACGACCGCTCCTTTCCGTGAGGTCTCCCCGCCTTTGAGCCCCCTGCCGGAGGAGACGCCCCCAAAGCGTTACCCCGGGAAGAGGAAGGCGCCACTTTGTAACGAAGAGAGCGACGATGAAGCGACATTCGACATCGGATTGAATCATGTCGTCGGCCTGACCAGACAGGCCGAAGTGGAGGGTAGCCTCATGAAAGAGGTTCCAGGTACTCATCTGCAGTACTTACTGGAGCAGATATCTCTTTCCTGCCAAGCGCTGACCGAACTTCGAAGTTCGGACATGCCACGCCGTAAGAAGAGGTATGACTCCGAGGAAGAAGCAACCGCGCAATCGGCTTTGGTTGGAAACATAGCGGGACAAGTCGCAGTGCTCCGCGGAGTCATCGATAAGCGTAGAGGGATGGGCGTCCACAAGGAAGTCCAGGAGGCGACCAAGAAGCTGGAGGAAATCCTGGCTACGGAAAGGCGCAGGAGAGCGACACCGCGCTCGGGGACCATTGTAGCCTCGCCGGAAAGGGGTTCTGGTACGTTAGCTCCGGTATTCGCGAAACGGAAGCCGACAACGGACGCGGGAACGCAAACGGCGGTTGGACCGCAAACAAACAGGCCGGGGACGTCTAATATGGCGTTGAGGAGGAATGTGGCCACACAAACAACGGAGGAGCCCCCAAATCCCAGGTCAGATCCGTTGACGAAGCCTGGGAAGAAGCGAAAGAAGAAGAAGGAGAAGAGACTGAACACTGTCGAGGGTACGGCCTCCTCGCCGACCGTTACGCTTCCCGAGAAGCATTCGGATCGGGGGACTGCTGCTGCAAAGTCCGCTCCGGCGAGTGTAGACATAGGAGCGGAGACGGAGAGGCCCACTTGGACGGAGGTGGTTTGTCGCAAGGGTGGACTGGGGAAGACCGAGGAAACGGCAACTAGGCCTAGACCTCCACCGCCTACACGAGGTCCGGCCGCAAAAAAGTTGCTGGCGAGGGTGCCTCGTACGGAGGCTGTGATTATCGGCCCTTTGAAGGGGGACTTGAAGTATGCCGAAGTGATGAAGACGGCGACGGCCTCTGTGGACCTTCTGGCCTTGGGTATCCAGGTGTCTGGGACCCGGAGGACTCAGACGGGGGCCGATCTGCTGGAGGTTCGAGGATCCGCCGAGAAAGCGGATTTACTAGCCGCCAAGTTGGAGGAGGCGCTCAAATAGAAGGACGTGCGGGTGCATCGCACTTCGATGACCCGCACTGTCCTGATCAGGGATGTGGAGGACTGGCACGAAGAGGATGAGGTGCGTCGGGCCCTAAGCGACGCTCTGGAATGTCCAAATGTTGGGCCCGTTATCATACGGCCTAACATTGGAGGCAAGGGGCGTTACGCGAGATGCGACGTGCCCGTCAAGGTTGCCATTCGGCTTACCACAGTGAGCCGAATAAAAGTCGGCTGGACAAACTGTAGACTGAGGATCATTGACAAAAGTCCTCAGTGCTACAGATGTCTGGAGCATGGGCACATTGCCCACAGCTGTAAGGGCCCGGACAGGTCAGGGAACTGTCACAGCTGCAGAAAAGGTGGGCATATCGCTAAAGAGTGCCCTTTTTTTTTTTTTTTTTATACACCACCGGTATGCTGTGGACCGCCCTGGAACTACCGCGAGGTATTGCTTCAGGGCGGCCCACGCCGTCTAAAAATTCAAAAAATTCACACCACCACGTTGTGAATTAGCCCGAAATTAATCAAGAGTTTATTCACAACGTGGTGTGGCCTCCCCCGTTAGCCGGACCCCAGAGTGGGATCCGTTGCCCAGGCCGCACCACGTGGAGGTGGGGGTAGGACTTTGCTATGGTTGGGACAAGTAAAACTCACAATAGACAGACACAAAATCACAGAACCTGACTTTCAGGCCTCTTTGCCCTTGCCGGGGCAGTCCTTTGCCACATGGCCCATCCCTTTACAT